CTTTGCTCAGCCGTCCAATGAGAAACCTACCACCACGKTTATCGAAGACAGATAACTACCTCTTATGTCAACAACCAATCGCTCAAAAATGTAACAGATGATACTGTGATTCGAGGAATCCAAGATATTGTTATATTTTGAATATCTCGAGATGGATTCTGCTGGCGATCTGATTTGTACAAATGGAATGAACACATACGTATATACTCCGTCCGTGTTTGTTGACCCTTGCAGTTCACTACCCTAGATAGGAATTCGTTAGTGATTTCTTTGCAAATCTGTTCGCAAAAGAAAGTCCTCAGTWATTCAATTAGATTCTATAATAAGCTCTTCTTCAGATTCTAAGCTTCCCACAGAGTCTGGTGGTCTTTTCTTTGCGTGATTGGCATTAATATCACGAATTTCGCCTAACTCATCATCTCTCTCATTCACGTATTCCTCCTCRCTATGGTTCGGATACAACCGATCCTTTTCACCGACTTCAGCATTGTCGAATTTTTGAGTATCGATTCTCTTTTGCCGCACAAGTTCTTCCAACTGGTCAATCAAACTTTGCAGCTTCTCAAAGTTTGCTTGATCGTACTCTAAAGCCATGACTTCGCGTTCCAGGCGAAGGCTATCGCGAAGTGCGTAAACCTCTTGCTTCATCGCACTCATTTCTTGTCGATATTCTCTATCTTTTCTTTGATATAAAGTTTCCATAGTAATCTTCTCGGCCAGTAATTTATCGTAGCGCAAGGCCCACTCTCTCTCCACGCGCTGGATGTCATATTCTGCCTCATCTTGGTCGTCACCTGAAGGCCTCTTCAATGACTGTGATCTTCCTTCTTGACGTCGTTTTTCAAGTTTTGCCACTTGTTCCTTCAAAGCTGCAGTTTGCTCTTTATAAAAGGTTTCTTTACTGCTGAAAATCTCATCCCGGCGAGTCCTCTCCAGCAGAAGCACCTTCATTTCTTCCGTCATTTCTTCGATTTTATTTTCCAACGAGGAAAGTTTCTCCTTGTAGTAAGCTTCCATTGCAACCATCTCCGCCACTCTACTCTCCAATTCGTTGAAATTTTCGTCCATTCTTTTCAACTCGTTCTTTAGATACTCTACACATTCGTGCCCCGCTATTTCACTCAATAGTAGCTGCGCTTCGCATCCGCCGGGACACACTAAGGTCTTCTTGTCATACCGTCTGACATCCTTCAGTGTTTTTATCTCTGGGCTATTATGCAGCATCCCGACCATCCCTTCATCGCTCATCTGCTCGAGCTCGCCATCCATGCTTTGAAATCCAAGGATTACTGCTTTACTGAAGCTTTCAACCTAGTCTTAGACTATCTTTCTACACTTCAAGATTGCCTTCAGCTCAAAAGCCGAGCTGAGTTTGTGAAGTCAGATCTGCGATTGATGGGCTGTAAGATGTCACGGTTCTTTAACCAAGTATCTGTCGCTAGTTGTTCCTATTCGGTTACACGACAGCCACGACAAGCTCACTATACACGAAATCTGCTACTTCAAGACGTCATCCCAGAGTCATTTACTATTTGYCTGTAGCCCTGGCGTTATGCAAGTTTGTGTAAACAAACCCCAGGGTCTCTGCTTCTTTGAATTCCTTTCTCTTACACTCTGCGGTAGATAACAAATGTTTCCAAAACAGCTATTGTTCCAGCTCTCCTGTGAGTCTCTTTGAAACGTAGATTGAGTTGACTAGTATCTTATATCTGCGAATCTATTCTATCAGACTTAAGGTTTACATTTAAGGGATAAAAGAATGAGGGAATGTTGTGGGAGTGGTTTAATCTTTCAACATGACTACTCTTATTGCAGTACTGAGATTATGTGTACCTCAACAGGTATTAAAAAAATCCGACGAACCTTGAACAAATGATAAACTCAGTTTGCTCCATTATTTGCTCAGTCAACTTTTGAACTCTTTCGTCTTAATAAATATTGTGACGTGTTAGTATACGAGTTATGGTTGGCGTAGGTAATCGTCCAGGATTTACCTCAAGTTTGACCTCAGGGAAGACATTCTTTTCGACTTCGAACTGCATGGTTCTGTCTGAAGCAGCTCGTTAGTCGTTCTTCTTCCGTCGTGCGCAGCAAGACATCTTATATCAAAATGTATAGCGAAAATCGTAACTCTAAAATGCTAGGAATGTGCAGTTATTCAGAAATACTGGAGAGAGTGTTGTGACGATGTAACGCCTTAACCAGTGTTCTCATTATACACTAAAGTTGGCGGGGCTGCTGTTTATCAGCACTTTTTAAGGGCCTGTTTACATGAGGGAGGGTGCCCCTACCTAGTAGAGTTACCCTAGGTAGWTGAGTAACCCTTCTCTATTGTAAATATGCCGTCTGTTTACATGTGAAGTAGGGTGCCCCTAGTGGTAGGGCTACCCTATCTGGAAGGTGGGGTGACCCTACCTTGTAGAGTTAYCCTAGGTAGTAGGGTAACCCTTCACTATTGTAAATATGCCGTCTGTTTACATGAGGGAGGGTGCCCCTAGTGGTAGGGCTACCCTATCTGGAAGGTAAGGTGACCCTACCTAGTAGAGGCGAGTTTTGCTRACATTTGCCCATGTAAACGCAAAACATAGGGCTAGCGCTGGGGGGTAGAGCTGTGRTTGCTCATACCGCTGACACCGCTTGCAGGCGTCGTGAAGCAAAATGGCGGACAGTTCGTACAAACCCGGGGAATATTTTCGACGACACCAACGGAAAAACCTCGCCTCTAACTAATTCCGTTATATAAATTGAGCCACCACTGCTCAGTGCGGCCTGGTTTTACGCCAAATCTTTCCTTTGCGGCATACTTGTGATTCATGGCAATGTCATATTGTGCCGCAATTTGCTGGCCAACCATTCGAAATCGCTGTCTCTCAGTCATTAAGAATATTAATAACTGACCACAAAGTTGGAAACACGAAAGCAAAGAAGCGAGTGAAGTAAAAATCAAAGTTACCGCCAAAAGTCGTTCTCCCGCCATTTTGTTTGTTTTGCTTGCTGAGCGGCCGCTAACCAGGGTTARCCCTAGGCCTAGGGTTGCAAATTATCATGTAGACGCCCGGTATCTTCAGCCCTACCAGGTAGGGTGACCCTATCCCCTAGGGGCACCCTTTTCCCATGTAAACAGGCCCTTAGTTAGCTTCAAAGGACGCGAAGTATGCTTGCATCAGCTAGGTGTCATTATATATGGACACTTTATATCAAGTTTAGATTTGTGTGCGCGCACAAGAACCTCTGACTGATTGCTTGATACTTTTCTTCGAATTTCCCAAAACAACAGGAAATAAGCAATTTTTTCGCAAAATTTGCAAAAAAAACGTAAATATTTACTAGTGCATGTCAATAACCTTGCCGCAGCGTTCTGTACTCTTTGAAGCTTAAATATCTCACAATTAGGTAGACCATAGAGAAGGCTATTACAGTAATCAATCAATATCAATCAATATCAATCAGCATTTTTATTCAAGATCCAGTCAATGAATGTGGCCTAATCACTTGCAATCCATTTCAGTGACAACCAATCTATTTCAGTAACATCCAATTCATCTCAATATCATTTTAATATAAGAAAATGAGTCGTAAAAATCTGTAACTATCCACAGAGTCACCTATAGACACATGATGTACACTTATTTCAATAAAGTTAGTCACCAAAAACCTAGAAAGCTGAGATCACTGAGCATCATGGGAAACTTTTCATATCAAAAAAGCATATATATACAAAGCTTTTTTAATACAAACTGCAGCGATGATGCTCAGAAGAGGTGAGACTGTAACCGGTAAAAGATTCTCAAGTCCATCAACAGTTATCAAGCGGTTGAACATGTAAAATGAATCTACCCATAATCCTGGTCGGCATCAGCTTTATAGCTTTTCAGGTGACTAACTTTATTGAAATAAGTGTATACAGTCCTTTCAAAAAACCTTTGCCGCTGATCCGYTTCACATGGATTTCCAACAGTGTCACAAACCAAAAGATTTTTTTTTAATTTTTCTTTTTTTTTGTGAAGGAATTTCGGAATAGAATCACTAGTTATGAATAATATAATAAAAATCATAGGATCAAAGCTGCAAATTCGGCGTCAAATGACGTCTACGATCCGTAGAATCCAGCCAACCGAAGTCCACTCCATTCCATCTATGTACGGTTCCGGATTTTCCAAAATTAAAAAACACTCAAAATTCGGGCATTTACAAGAGGAAAACAAGTTTTAGAAATTGGGCATGTTTTTCGTATACATTAAGAACATCCATGGCCTTTCAAAAGGTGAAAATTCGAAAATATTATTTTTCGTTCAAGATCCAGTCAACGACAGAGGCCTAGTCACTTGCAATCCATTTCAGTGACAACCAATCTATTTCAGTAACATCCAATTTATCTCAATATCATTTCAATAGGGAAAAATGAGTCGCAACTGATATATATACATAGATACATGATGTATACAGTCCTTTGAAAAACCTTTGCCATTGACCGGCTTCGCATGAATTTTCAACCAGTGCCACAAACCAAAAGATTTTTAACATTCCATTTTTTATTTTTTTTTATTTTTTTTATTAGAATTTCGGAATATAATCTAGCTATTAATAATAAAATAAAAATCATAGGAAAAAAGCTGAAATTCGGCGTCAAATAACGTCTAGGATCCGTAGAATCCAGCCAACCGAAGTCCAGTCCATTCCATCTATGTACGGTTTCTGATTTTCCAAAATTAAAAAACACGCATTGATGCATTGATGCTAACAGGGGGGAGCGGGGCTGAATTCAAAACCCGGGACAGGTTTTTCCATCGAAAATCGAACCTTCCGTCAAATATTATGCTCGGATTTGCATTAAAATTCAACAMTGGGGTTAAATACTTGTCAGCAATGTGTTCCTACTATGGCCGACCGAGACAGACTGTCTGACAATTCAAACGCAGCGAACGTTTCAAAATCAACAAATTCGGCGCGCCGTGCGCTCAAGTGATAATCGCGGTGACATGTCCCCTTCACGTTTTACACGCTGTAGAAAAAATCAAACATGATTCGACTTCAAGCCAGGATTTTTCTGTAAAAAGTTGGCGTGGTGGCATTTTGAATACATGTCATAATAGAGAAAATAACGTTCCTTTGATGTTGCATTTCTATTGCGGTTCGAGGGGGGAGAGAGATTTTTTTGGATTTTCTAGCGTGATGTAGTCGATATCGGGTGCTAAGTCTCCAGCCTTCCCATTATTTAGGGAGATCAGTTCTAAATGACTTGTTTTTCGTAAAAAAAAAACCAGCACGACGGTATAAGGGATCAAAATACGAGAGATTTTTTCGTCACTAGTCTTTCAGTATTTGTGAAATCTTATCACTATACTTGTTACAAGTAGTATTTACACCCCAAAAGCCACTAAGGGCATACACTTTCGCTTGTAAGTCCAAACGATTGGCGGCTGCGCATATATTACACGTCCAACATTCCGGGTTGCCTATTTTGTATTTTTTCTTCCACTGGAAATACTTGTTATATTCCGTGTCGTTTTTGTCCAGAAACACTAAATAATCGGCCAATTCCTTGATGGATTTAAAGTCAAGGACATTGATGTAGGAACCAGGAACTGCAACCATTGGATCATAATTTGCTCCACCAAGAACGACAGGTATCATTTCGTGTTCAAACGGCGTGGACCAGTATTTTTCGGTGATATAATCCTCGCAGAAACCATTCTCGAATGATAAGTAAAACTTGTAGCGTTTTAGAAGATTCGAGCACTCCTTTGAACGAGGTTCGCATGTTCTTTCTTGGCCGAACTGTTTGCTGCATTTGCCATAAATGTCGATATCAATATATTTTTGAAGTTTTATGACGAATTTGTCTCTTGTCGTATTACAGTGACTCACCATCCACGCTACGAGTTTCTCTTTTCCCTCCGCATAATTTCTGTTCTTTTCAAAGTTATTCAATTCATTGGGCTCTGGTAGCGTGGAGTAGAAGTTATATGGCATAAATATATCCGAGTCCCTTCGATAAGTCATGGTCCAATTGAAAAACCCATCGTATAAGGACTGATCGTACTCGGTATTGTGCGGATTTTCATGCATCTTGAAAACCCAGCGTTGCTTTTCGTGTTTTTGTGGAAGTATCTCTCTCATGTGGGTAGGAGATGGAAGGTCCTTGCCATGAAAGATGACCACATCACTAACTCCCAACGCTCCYTTATTGTAAGTGATCCTGCAGTTTGAAATTGGGCATAATTTTCCATAACAGTGAACAAAGTCGTAAGAGTCGCTCACTCCAGGCCATGGCATGGCTTTCCATATTGGTGTATACAGCAATACCAGTTTGTAATCCTTGCTATACAAGCTCTGATTTCGTAGCTCAGGGTTTCGTTTGCGTTTAATCAGTCTCGGAACACGAGGTTTGTGAATGAGGCGAGGCCTTTGTGAAATAAACTTTACCGAATGACTGGTTTTCAATCTAGGGCTTACTTGCGATTTTCGCAGTTCTACCGACGAAGATGCATAGGGAAGCARTTCAATGCGAAGTATTATCAAAAAATTAACAAAAAAGGTGACAAATATAGCACGAAGTATCCAGATGATTTCCAAATGTTTCATCGTCTCGCAAAGGTAGCTTTCTTCTCGATACAGCTCTCAAATAAGCTATGTATTTGGTAGCACTCTACCAGTCAGTTGAATCAATTAATTATAGGTAGATAACCAATCACGTARCGGAAACTCTCGCTTCGATTAATGCCGCGAAAGGCGCGTGAAATCGAGRACGCATGCTTTCTTGGCAAGATAGGAGTGGGGGAAGGAGAGCCTGAAACAAATACTAACTATACTGAAGTAGCCTCCTCCGCGGGCAACTCTTATATTTTGRAGTTCCTTCTTATATTTTGGAGTTCCTGTGRCAAACAAAAGAGAGAAGGAAGCCCATTTTTTCCCTTCGCTCCACAGGAAGCCCATTTGTCCAAAATCCCATCTCCCATTCGAAGTGAGCGAGTAACCAGCGGAGGAGGCTAATACTGAACGCCTTCCGCCMCTTTTGGCTGGCGTGACGCGCACCCACTGCCTTATCCTCCATTTTCATCTTCGACAGCGATTATCTAAATATCTTGCACGGTAACCTACCCTGATTTTTCTACTGTAAGTCCAGGTTTACTAAGGCTACAACATATCCAAAAATGAAGGTAGATCATTGGGCTAGATTTTTAGTGAATCGCGAAATGTCAGAAAATTTGGATCCWAAAATTCAAAATCTGGTTGTACTGTTWTGGAAATTTAACCACTGAGAACTCGGGATCATTCTTAAACACAATAAAATTAGCGACGATCGAACCAAATCGACAACACCTAGATAGCGGTGAACTGCGGCACACAACCCATATTATACCCTCAAACTAGACTAGAATGCCCTTGTAGTCGAACCCAGGAAACAGCTTCCTATCAGAATTTCTCAGTCGGCGTTCACAAATGCCGGAGACATAGTTATGATATACCATGGAATTAAGGGCGAGAAGTTTCAAGTGTTTTTTTTACTTTAATGTACCAAGAGTTTTGACTTTATCTTATTTCGCGTTTCATTCTTTTTACGAATTCTTCAGACTCTCTCTCCATAGTCGTCCACACGTCGTCTCCTTCTTTAAAAGGGTCTTTTGTGGGTGGAGGTTGCAGAAAGCCTATAGCCTGTACGAACCTGCTCTCTTGCACTGGTTGCTGAACTCGGCGCCTCACAATGTGACGGCTTTGGTTTGTCGATGGCAAACTTGTAGAGGTTTCCCACAGCCCCGTGTTGTTATTAGCGTGACCAAAGCGCCTACCATCACGTCTTCGGTGGAAATCTCTCTCCAGCCTCTCGAGCTCTCCTTCGATGGCTTTCTTGTTTGCCACCATGTCAACAGCGTCTGAAAAGTACTTGTTGAGATACACGCAGACTTCACATGAAGGTCCATGCCTGGAAATTGATGTGTTCACAGTTAAAACCAATCAGTCAGGCAGATGGACACTCCTAATTTAAGTATTAATACAGTTGGGAATAGGTTGGCTAACAGATCCAGTATAGAAGTAATGGGCTCCTGATCTGGGAATAGAGTCTTTGAGCCAGCATATTCCCAGATCAGGAGCCCATTAATAGAAGCATCCATCTTCCATACTGAGTCTGMGAGCCATGCTCACATATTCCCAGGTCACCAAATACTGATAGTGGAGTCTTGCAAATACATTTTAATAAGAGCAAACTTTCTAWAAACATTTACCTGGATGCATATTTCATAAAGACTCTATCAACTCGAGAAACAAGGTCGTTGTTAAAATTTGCAAAATATTCCAGCAATTCCTCTCTGCATCTAATCTTTCTTTTGTGTTCTGCTTGCTCCTCAGTGCCAAAAATACTTGGAATATGAGCCCTTCCGAAGGCGCTCACTCCCTTGGACACGGGAGACAACACACTGGACATGATCTTCCCAACAAAAGACGATAGGTCGGGGGWTGCCTTCACATCGTAATGAAAAGGGTATGTAATCCACCCTGGAATGAGACGCCTATCCCAACTAACGAAGAACTTATCACCATCGAGGTCTCCACCGGAACATTCATCGGGGTGGGGTCGCCTTCCTTTTGTAGGGAACACGATACAGT